GAAACAAGAGCACCAAGGAAATAAACACAGGGCCTGCAAATCATAAGAATCTGTCTTTTCTGATATGTTTTATTTCACAGATTGTGGGGTCAGAAAGAGTTCTTTGAAATTCCAGTTCCAACCACAAGCTTTAGATGAGATGTTATCTCTTCACAAAACTACTCATATTGTGCTAAGCCATCCTATTAGCTTGCTATTATAACACATATTAAACAGAATAGTATGGTCCAAGCCAGCTGAGGATGGATTAGACTTAAGTTATTTCTATCCCCTGGACAAGAGGAACAATGAAGTAAAGACTTTTCCACTTACTATGCATTTAAAAAGCTGCAATTCACTCTATGTGAAGTTATGTTGGAGAAGGTTGACGAAAAGACAAAAGGCAATTTTACAGAACTGTTTAAAAATTCAAGGTATTTCCTGCAACAGAATGAGGGACATGACAGGCAATTTTGGGCCGGTTTTAACATGGTGTCAGACTCATTCAAAGCATCATTGCCTTAGCGACCTTAATTTGGTTAATCAACACACCCTTATAGCAGCTGAAGCATTGTAGTAGGTTCTTTGTCTAACTTTAAAAAACTGGAAGGTGACACAGATTTACATAAGCTATAGCTATGTCTGTATTAGCAGTAGGGTGATCCCATGGGACTATAGTGCAAATTTTCATTTGGGGAAAGTGCTGCTTACATTACCACATCTGGTGAACCTGTCACATATTTAATCAGCGTTCTGCCCTAATCCTGACTACCGAACTGAGAGCTAACACCTGCCAAGCTGTAACTTTCATAAGCATGAGTGCAACAGGGGCAAATCCAGTCTTAGGAATACCTACAGTGTCTGATTGTATAAGTTTCCAAGTTTAAATTATCTGCTTGTGATCAGAAAGCTAAGATGGGACCATTTTATTCAACTCCCCAGGATCATTTTATTCAACTCCCCAGGATCCTCTGACAATAGGCACATTTAAAACTTTGGGGAAAAAATAAAGCATTTGAATTAACAGAGCTTCCAGATCAAAGTATGATTTTAAGCAGCCAGCAACAACAGAATCATCTTTGCCGCCTGTCTTCCCAGAGCACACAGTAAAAAATGAACATGAAATCTTTATTTGTTGTCTCTCTCATTAGTCTGAGATACTCCTCTGCACTGCTAAGAAGTGTCTTTTTCATTCATAATTACTTGTAAACTGGATGCCAGCTATTTATGCCAACACTCAAGTTTCCAATGCAAACAAGTTTCAAAAGCCATTACAACTGTGAGGTTGCACAGTCTTTTCAAGGGTTTTTCAATACCAATAATCTTCTGAGGCTTATAAAACACTTCCAAGGTAATGAAAGCTATAGTAGGCAATTTACATGCTGTTTGAATATGCTTTTCTTCAGCACTAGCCAAGAAGCAATTTTAAGGCTTATTAGCTCTAGACAAAAAGAAAAAACTTACTTCCTTGTTTTGTGAAAGCCATGGCATATTCAGGCTGTGCTATCCAAAGCACTCAAAACCCCTAAGAATTCTGTCTCTCTGATCTTTGTGAATTTAAGCCAGCTGCAGGGCACCACAAGGCCTAAGAGTGCTTGCTCAACTGCAACTACAGTGGAAAGGACCGTAGGGAGGGAGAGGCTGTCAAAAGTAACAAGTTTTCTTAAACCAGACAGGTCTACTTGCACCAGACCAAGAAATTGTTGATTGCTTGCAGTTTCACAAACCCACCTTGAACAATGATAAGATTTTTGTTCTCCATCTCTGGCTGACATGCAGCAGTTTTGTGTCTGACAGACTGAATGCCTTCGAGAAATCTGTCATACATCCATCACATCTGCTAAAGATCATAAATTAGTTCCTTACCATCTGGGGGGGTCCTCCATTTGAACTTAGCTCCTTCTGTATCAAGTTATGCTTCTAATCAGTATCACAACATTTTCTTCCTCCTTCACAGATAACTCTAAACTAGAAGTTAAGCACAAACATTTCCTTTTTTTCCTGTTAAAGGTACTTTGATAACATCAATAACACACAGCAGGCTGTGCCTCAATGCCTGGTTCCATAAATGGAGAATAAGTATGAGGTCCCCAATTTTCTTATGAGTATGAAATAAAGTGAGATAAGCAACCATCATAATACTTTTGATCATGGAAGACAATAGCTGTGAGAGCTGAAGATTAGTATATGATCTCTTTAATGCAAAAACCATAGGGTTAAGTTTGCCTTCTAGAATAATTTCTTTCTCTCAGAAGAGCTATTTCCAAGCTCTGAATGAAACCCAAGTAACTCCTACAAAGCATTCGACAGATTGCACAGTTACATCTTCATGTTGTTTTCCTCAAAATCTAGTGAAAGTTTCCAGTAGTCATGAACTAAATGTAGCAGAGTTCAGTGGAAAGCTATCATGCATATATGTCCAAGTTACTCATTTTTTTTTGGAGTCACAATACAATAGATTCCTGTCCTTTCTATTTCCAAATAACTGTATTTCACTTCCCCTTCATTTCAGATAAAACAAAGTAATACACACACTTTATCTTTTTCACATAATCCACTAGCAAGAACACCAAAGCATTAAGCCTTAAAATCCTACAATTACCAGTTCACTAGTTTTTTTTTCATTGGATGTTTGATATACATACCAGGGAAGAAATTTTAAGTAATAGCTACTAACCAATATATCTAAAAGTATGATTGAGAAATGCAGCCTGTGCCTCCTTTTGGGTAATCTCACCACAAAGGTAGGAACTAGGAGATGACATAACCCTGATATTGCAGCAGCTGACTGAAAGCCAGTATCTTATGAGCTATACTTTTAGACACCAGCAAATTGGTACAGCCTCACATGATCATGAACACCCTCTCAACTCCTTCTGTTTTAGAGCAAGCTGTTGCCTTCCCCAAAAGATGGAAAAATTCATGAAACTATATTCTTAGAAAAATGTGAATGTTAATTATGAAAGTTCTGTGCATTCATGCAGAGATTAAATAGTTTACAAGTTAAATGGATTTATACTGAGGGTTGGGTTTTTTCATTCCTTCAAAGTCTTTATGTCACTAATGTAGGTGCTGTTTTCTTAAAACCCTTCCTTAACACAGTTATCCTACTTGTTAGCTGAAATTCAGCCCAACTGATACAAAGTGGTATAAACTATCAACAATAGAACGTATTCCTCCATGCAATTATGTCTACAAGTTAAATGAATAAAGCATCTGTAACTCTGGGGGAAGAGACCAGGGCCCAAGAACAAGACACTACTCTGCATGCTTCCTGCTTTCTGTTATCAGCTTCCTGAACACACTGCACAGTGGCGATAGCGCAAAGAATAGGCGCTAGCAATGCCACCTCCTCTGTGTAGTGTATTCAGCTCTACACTCAACAATTCAATTTTGTTCCTGGAAAAGCCTCGTGACACCTCTTCCAGATTAGTTGCTGGCCAACACAAATTAACAATCAACCCTAGAGCCACATACAGACAGTATCAGATTCCATTTCTCCAAATGGCACAAGCTCTGCTATATAGTAAGCTACTTCAAAAGCTGCAGAGCAGGGGAGGTCAGGCATATAGATTGCTTACTGGACTGTCTGTAGGCAAAGAATTACTCAAGTCAATGGATGAATCATGCAATTGACACCATAGGCTTTTCCTTTGTCTCCAAACACCTTTCTACACAGCTGTTTTCTATGCAGCACTGAATCAGGTGTGGTTGTGAAGTAAAACAGCCAATCGCTTTAGTTCTGAACATTGAGCATCTGCCAACCCTTTTTAAGAGAGCAAAAAAGAGGAAGGTAAATAGCTAGAGAAGTTGAAAAAAGAAACTTCCAAAGTTTCTCCAGGTCATTTTTTTCGGTTGTCAAATCCTGTTTGTAGATTTGATAAGCTTTGCTGTGTAAAACAGAAAGTGAAAAATGAAAAGAGTGAAAAGTAAAGCTAACACTTTGTTAGCTTCCCAGAAGTACAAAGGACATCAAGAAGTACAATTAAGAAAAACACAAAAACACTGTTTATTTCTGATGCTTAGTACGTACCCGAACAGCATCTTAGTAATTAGTCTAAAGGCAGCAGGACATAACGCAAGTTTAAAATGCGTAGCAAGAAGAGGATCTTCTCCTGTACTGTACTACCGGCTCAATTCAAGTGTTCTCACCAAGCACGTAAAGAATACCTAGAAGTGGCACCGACACCCCTCGCAGGAGAGGGCCGGGAGAGGCCCCCCAGCACACCCGTGGCTGTGGCGGAGGCTGGGGAGCCCTCCCAGGCCGCCCGGACTGACAGCAGGCCGCGCCCCGGCAGCCCCGTTACCCCGCGCTGACTCGTGGGCCCG